TGTTGGAAGAACAAAGTTTTAGATTACTATTGATGTCTTGAATGATGAAAAATAACTTCGCGACCCTATCCGAGTATGTGCTTAGTGCAACGCCTTATAGAACAATGAAGTAATGTTTTCATACGAACTACGCGCTCCAATGGCCAGCACTCTCACAGTAATCAGAAACCTACCGCTCAGCTTCTTCCTACTTACTTATCAAAAAGAGTATCATGATAGCATTAGCGCGCTTAGGATTCGGATTCAACAGACGCTCAAGGCCGCTTGGCCAAGTCTCATCCAATGAGCTTGACCTGCACACACTTTTTTAGCCCTGCTTCTTCTAGTTTCGGGCGCATGGCCCACTCCAGACCAACCCGATCTCCTTTTCTTCTTTCTTTGCAGTCACACGACTGGAGGGGAATTTCCTTGCCCCTTCTTTAGGCCCCCACCGATGTATTAGAAATGATACCTTGGGACGGGTGTAAAGCTAAACAAATTGCTTCTGCTCCAAGGACTGAGGACTGTGTTGGTTGTAAGAGATGTGAATCTGCCTGCCCAACGGATTTCTTAAGTATTCGAGTTTATTTATGGCATGAAACAACGCGCGTATTGAGTGTAGTGCAATTTACTGGGTTCCAACACAGGCTATGTGTAGGTTCAGTACATGCATGAGGCTCAACACGGGTAGGCTTAAGGGTTACCTTAGCGGGCTCTCCTCGGGAAAAAACAGACTGACTCCTTAGCTCAGAAAGAATCTATTGGTCATGGCCTAACGGCCACAGGTGAATCCACGTTTCCAAGTTAATGAGCTAAGCCCCCTAGAGATGTCTCTGCCCTTTGTTGAGGAACGGGCTTGACTATATAAGGCAGCCCCGGTTCCGAACGTAGACTACGTGGAGGTTGAGACTGAGCTCTGTTGATTCGGTCGAAAGTCAGCTTCTGCTTCTGCACGAATATCCTCTGGGTCGTTCTTTATCCGTATTGGCAAGTCAGGGTCCCTAATTGGACAGGCGGCTAGCACTACTACGACTGGCACTATGACTCGCTACCTGGAAGTGCCTCGTCATACCGCCTAAGGAAGCACCAAAGCCAAGGAGCTAACCAGTCAAGCCACTAGAAATAGGCTCGGTAGTTAGGCTCGGGATTTCTACATCGGTATAAAGGATGCCGATGCATTATATTATAGATTGGTAAGTCGGCAAGGCGGGAGGGATCGATCGGAACAGATGAAGCTCAGCACCCCTTAGACGGCTCTTGCATCCGCTCTATCCTACTGCATCCGGAAAGGCTGCTCCCTTCTATTATTATTATAACAAGTAACAAGATTTGTTGTGATCTTTTCCCAACATCCGAAAAAGGAAGAACAAAGCGGCAAGCGCAGTTAGACGCATAGCAAGCGCTTCTCTTTCTTGTCTCGCACGGCTCGGCTCTGTCTCAGTCAAGGAAATCAAACGTTGGAAACAGGCCAAGGTCGGTCGTGCTATACTTGATGAGCCTGGAAAGATATTCGATGCAAATGACAAAGAGGTAAGGTGAAAGGGGGTCACCTTGCCCTTACTTCTGAACCTTTCCTCTGCCGCTCCAGCAAGAAAACGGATGCGCGTTAGCGCAACGGCTTTCGCGCGTCTTGCTCAATCCCTTGCTTGTTTGAAGGAAAGGAAACAAACGAAGTTCAAAGCCCGACTCTGAACGTCTTCTTTCAGGGGGTTGGCTCGATCTACGCGCCTCGGTACACGCAGCAGATAGGTTGTGAAAGAAGGAATTCCCTATGGTTGCCCCTTTCTTATCTTTTT